TGTATGAGATAAGAGCGATCAAAGATTTGGAAGCCAGCCAATCACATTAACCTTAATACTGTAACATAGCGTCTGTTCTTCTCTCAGATGCATCTGGCATCAACTATGTTCCAGTCACACTAATGTGAACGAAGAATAAGTTTTGTCTAATAACGGTGACCAGAACGTTCGGGTTCAATTCTCATCTAAGCTCAGCCTCACTGTGAAGAATCTAGGCGCTATCACACTATACGGGGGCTACCTTTAGGACTCAGCCGTTCCTGGGAATACGAAAATTACGCATGCACATTGAAATATGTCCCCTGCTCGATTTCATCATTAATAAAAAAGGATGTTTGACAAGAATACTGGGTGGTGAACAAAACTTCCGCCCCAGACGAGACTCGAACCCGCACTTCAAAAAATGGATGTTTGACGCGTGTTCTCAAACGCATTGGTGCCGCAGTGTCCCCTTATCTTGTGATAGCGCCTAAAGTATACATGCCGCCAAAAATTCCACTTCCAGCAGTGCTTAGTTCGCTCTCTTCAAAACAGCAGACTGATAGAGGTAATCCTGAACTTGCTATCTCTAACTACGTCAGAGTACAACACGCTAATCTTCTTTAATACCCAGTCTCAAAGACCGTTGTAGAAAAGTTCAAAAAAGTGAAATTATGGTTCCTCGTACCGCTTTTCTCTACAGTACACGAATATTAGTACCAATTAGTGAGTACAGAAGGTGTCCTGCTGCTGCCTAATTCTTAGGAATTTTCCGACACTACCTTACGAGGTTCATAGTTTGAGATTCCTCAGTGAACTTCCTTGAATAGTCTCACAATTTCGCTCACAGGCGTAATTATCCACTGCGTTTTTTTTCCTTCAGAGTTCGATATAAAATCATCCGCTATTAAAGCCGATTAGTCTACAGCCATATTATTAGAATGGTTCATAGGGTTCCTGCTCAAAAAGTTGTGCTATTTTGTTCACAGCAGACGAGCTGTGCTCTATCCATGTCCCTATTAATATATCTACCCTCGCCTTCAAATGGCCCAGAAATTGTGCAATTGCAGAAATTGACGTGGCATTGGCACACGTGGCTAAATTCTCGATGAAAAGGTGACATCACGTGTGCTCAAAGATGTTCTTGAATCGATGCCACGTTAATGCCACGTCAATTTCTGCAATTGCACAATTTCTGGTCATTTGAAGACGAGGGTATTTGTAAAAATACGGATATCACAAATGCTCTAGACAAGGGAATCTGTGATCGCTTATAGTTAAAACGAGTTGTATAATTTAGGACTGCATAATTGATGCAATAATAATAATAATCAGTTATTGCAGAGTTTTCTAAGTAAATAGCTGCTATATTTAGCTATTCAGGTTGGGGCGACATTGCCTCATATGGCCATCCAACGCAAGAATACACTGAAATAGATCGAATGGCAAATGAAGGTACACGATTCACTCAGGCTTACTCGGCAGACAGCATGTGTAGCCCTAGCAGAGCCGGGTTCATGACTGGTGAGTACAGTGCAGTTGAAGATCAGTTCTCCTAAAATGGTCGTAAAGTTCCCTGCACCGCTTTTTTGTGAATATTTGAAAAATTGAAAGGTCCAGGTGATCTCTGGTTTGCACCACCATCGTATAGCAGTCCGCGCCAACGCCAACTTTCTCTCACAGAAGGCCGAGAACTGGGGCTTGAAATAGTCGTGAAAAGCCTCCTTGAGCTGATTGTCCGCCTCGGCTTTTTTTGGAAAGCGCTTTGGGTGACCCATGTCGGCACTTGGGCGCCAAGCCTAGGATTTCTGTAATAGGGCTCGCAGTTGAAGTCTTGGACATTGCCCATTGTAAACTTTCTCCGTGGCCTCACGCGGCAAAAGGATTCGGGTTGAGTTGGAGGAATATATCTGTCTGGTTTTCCCGTGAGCACCTGTAGCCCAGATCTCAGCCTGTATGCCTGTACAGTCACCCAGAAGGTGAGAAGTACGATAATTCGAGATAGGTTCAGAATGAGCATGCGGGTGATAAATCGAGCGAGTGAATTGATGAAGATCCACAAAATGGGGCCCTTATTTCGTCTTTGGTTTTGGTCGAGTTACCGGGTCAAATATGATGTTTTGGCAAAGGACTTCGATGAAGTAGGCCACACTTTAAAATTGCAATATACGGCTTTTTGATCCAAATTGGTCTTTCAAAATGGACCCCTTTTGTGGGTATTGCAATACCTGTGTGGTTATGGTGCGGAGC